AGTTCCCCCGAATAGCTAAACCTTCACATTGTTTCACTGTAATGGTGACATGGCATAATGGTGGATTTTCATCCTCAGGAATTCCTAGTCCAAGTCATCCCATATGTTCCCTATATCAAGAGTCACACTGACTTAGTTCATTGAGGCTTTTTGCTGTGAAGAGAGGACGCCACTGCTGTGGTCAAGGACACATAGTGCCCTGGGGACAAGAAGAGTTGTTCTTGCCAGACAGAAAGAGGATATGGAAAGTCCACTGCCCCCCGAGCATCGTAGGGGCAGAAGAGGGAGAAATGGATGGGTAGAGTAAAGGGCTCCTGCACGCGTGTGCTAACCTCCCCTTGTAGTGTGGCGGCTCAGCAGAACTCTCCAGGTGCACGTGAAGGAGCGCAGGAACCTGTGGGGGTGGGGGAGGGGGGCTGGAGGACCACGCCTGGCTTAGCATTGGAGTGGGGTGGGGGCTTGCTGCCTCCGTGGGCAGATGTAGAGGCCTGAAGTGCCCAGCAGACCAGCATAGGCTTTGCACGCAGAGGCCACTGGGTGGGAGGATTTTGCAATTGGAGGAAAAAGGCGGGACCATGGATTTGCTGAAAGACAGATGGGGTCTGTTGCACCTCAACAGATACCAGTCCAGGGGTCCATCCAGGCAGCATGTATACTGATGTCTTTTTCATTCCTGATACTGGCTATGTTTGTGTTCTGTTTTGCAAGATCCATCTCATCAGAGTGTCACCAATTTTATTGGTCCTTTAAAAACTCCTGTTCTTGGCTTTATTTATCCTCTCAGTTGTTTGTTTTCTGTTTCAGTACTTCCTGTTCTTACCTTCAATGTTCCTTCATCTACTTTAATTTGCTGTTCTTTTCCTTTTAAGACGGTTGCTTAGCTCATTAAATTTAAGCATTTCTTCTTTTCTGATATGATAGTTAAGGTTATTCATTTCCCTGTAAGAAACACCTAGCCTGCCGTTTCATGAATTTTGATATGTAGTTTTTTTTTTATTGTTGAGTTAAAATTTTCTAGTTTTCATTGATTTCTTCATCGATGCATGGATTTTTCCAGAACTATATTGCTTAATTTCCAAATATATGGAGATTTTCTAGTTATATTTTTGTTACTTAATTTATAATGTTTATTGTATTTGCTTTCACAGTCCTATACATGTCCCTTCTGTCAAATTTGTTTTTTTAATCTTATATGTCCTTGCTGGGTTTTTTTATCTGCCTGTTTTATTAAGTTCTGAGAGACATACTAAAATCTCCCACTATGATTGTAGATTTGTCGGTTTTTCTTTTTTGCTTTCTGCATTTACTTATCTACATCAGTAAATGCATATAAATTTAGAGTTGTTATGTTTTATTGGTGAATTGAATCATTTATTATTAAATGACCCTTTTATCTCTATTTATCTGCTACACTTGATATAATGTAATGACACCCATTTTCTGGTTGATATTTGCATGTTACTTATTTTATATCCTTTTATGTCGAAATTTTTGCATCTTATATTTTCAGCGTGTCTCCTTAAACAGCATAAAATTGAGTTTTGTTTCTTGATCTAGTCTGACAGACTTCAGCATTTCTGAATTATCAAGTTAGACAATATTTGCTTGTGAACTAGAGCATTTAATCCATTTACATTTATTGACTAATTTATAAGTTGATTGTACATCTATCATCCTACTTTATCTTTTTAAATTATTTAACCTATTCTATATTCTTTCTTTTTCTCTTTCCTTTCTTGCTTTCCTTGGATTGATTATTTTTTGGTTATTTCTATTTTGGTTCTCCTATTTTAGTTTTGAAAATACATAGTCTTCCTGTTTTTTGGCAGTTCCCCAGAAAACAACACGAACTCTTGGCTTACCACACAGTGTGTTAATCAGCTACTTGTACTGTTATCCTAGACAATGCAAAGACCTCAGAACAGTTTCACTCCACTTACATCCCTTCCTACTTGCACATTTTGTTCGTTGAGTTTTTACAACCCACAATACATTATTAAGATTGTTTTAGATAGTCAATGTTTGCTTAGAATTATGCATATGTTTACCATTTTTGTTGTTCTTCGTTCATACGTCCATCTCCAGCTTTCCTCTGGGATCACATTGCTTCTGCTTGAAAAACCACTCCTTTAGGGCAGAACACCTGCTGGCAAATCTTCTCTGTTTCAGTCTGTCCAAAAATTCTATCTCACATTCATTCTTGAAGAGTGAGCTGGGAAGAAATGACATATATTTTAATTCAAAAATGAATAAATCCCTAATGTGTGCTTTCTAGGACCATGTGAGAGAAATGTTGGCACCAAGGATAGGAAGCAAGAAGAGCCCTTGGCTAATAAGTATTTATCTGATGCTGCCTTGAATTTGTCCCCTCAGTGGCTCTGCCTGAAATCCCACTGAGGACTTCTATTTCGTTTACCAGCTCCCCGTCTTAAAGCAAAAGAAGCCCCCCAGCAGTGTTAAGGGGCCAAGACATGAACCCCTGTTTTGTTTAACTAGACTGTTTTCTGTCTAACAACTTACAGGCTCAGTCCCACTCAAAACAAAACTGTTCACAGGAGGAGGAGAAAGACCAGTAATTTGGAAGAATTTCTCCAAAACTGGGTTGGGAAGGACCACAGAGTAAGAGTCCAGGGGAGCCTGAGAGTGTTAGCCTTGGGCAGTGGGGCAGGGCAAAGGCAGTCGCGCTTAGACCCAGGAGACAGGGCTGTTCATTCTGCTCACGTGTGAGGTGTCAGCCCCCAGAATGCAGCTCTGGAGCCTCCTGAACACATAGACTGTTGACCTCCAACAACACAGGTCTCCTGAGAACCTGACCTGCACTCCCACACGGGCAACGCTTCCAGATGGTGGTGCCACCCTCACAAGCTTATCGAATTTCCCTTAGAAGGGCGATTGGAGTTGTGGAGGCGAGGCAGGCCCTGAGAACAGAGAGACACAATCACAGACACCAAGCATTTTGTCTGGAAAATGTCCTTCACCCAGATCAGCTCCTGCTCAGACACTATGCCCATTATCTAAAACCAGGCTGCTGGGCAGCGGGTCCAAAGAGGGTGATGGCGCTACCACTTCTTCCCTTTGGCTCCTGGAGCCGCTGGGTGCTGCGGGTCACGTGGCACTTCAGAGAATGGGAGTGAGGGGGGAGTATGAGCAGGTGGGGTACAGCTCACCTTTCTGGACAGGCAATGCCACCAGGTTAAGAGTCGGACTCTGGGGCCGTTTCAATATCCCAGGCTAATGAAGGGTCCAGAGGACGAGGAGATTAACCAGCTCTGCTTCCCTGATGGAGTGTTGGGAGGAGGTGGCCCCATCCAGGCTGCCAGTGGACTTCCTCGTGCTGCAAGCCCCTCGGGACAGAAAGGCAGGCCAGTCAGTCCTATGGAGGGGCCTCCTCTCCACACGGAACATTCCACTTCTGGAACCTTCAAAGCACCCTGGGAGCCTGAAATTAGAGGAAATATGGCTGTGAGAGCAGGGATTTCTCATGAACCCTGACCTAAGCCATCAATGGAGAAACACAGGAAAATAAAAGGATGAGCTTACACTCTGATGTATTCGAGAGGGAAAAAGTAAAAATAAAAAATGAAATGTACTCATTTGCTTTCATGTTTAAGAACACAGAAAATATTCACTAAATCCCACTAAGGAATAAATAAAATGCATCATTCCACTGGGCTCAGCCAAAACAAATCTTTAATGGTGGGATTGCAAGCATCAACAGGCCTATGGGGGATGCCTGAAAAAACCTACGGGGGATTCCTGGGGGAGCCACCCAAGGCCCTGGGCGCTCTCCGTGAGGACTCCTGGCCATGGCATTTGGGCTGGAATTGAGGACTGAGCCTTCCAGTTCCCACTCGGTGTCAGGACCTCTGACCTCCTTTGCTGACCACAGCCAAACTCTCAGTCCATTCCAGTCTTTCTCATTCCTAAGACCCAGACTCCACCTGCTACCCTAAGGTTCCCCCCACTCAGAGCACAGGGGTCAGCGTGTCTGTGGCCTGTGCTCCCTGGCCAGCTGCATGGGGCTGGTCTCCAGGCAACGCCCTCCCCCCAGGAGGACCAGCAGCCACTGTCTGGAGAGCCAGTGTGTCTCAGACGTGTTTTGCCTATGAGTGTGGCAACACTTGTTAATATGCTTAATAGACAGAGGTTTTTGGTTTTCTAGGTTTTTAAACAGATACTAACATCTAAAAAAACATTTTACGGAAGCATGATATACACAGAGAAAAGTACACAGATTGGAAGTGTACAGACTGCTAAGTTATCATAAAGTAAACCTACCAGTGTAACCTATCACCCGGCCCAATATGTAGAATAGGAAGCCACAGATAAGCCCACAGAAAAACATGGTTTTAGACATCTTGCCACAGGTCAGATGAAGTGGAGTGCCAAGCACCTGTGCTGTGTATTCTCGTACTTCTCATCTGACGTGTCCTGAAAGGATTTCAAAATCTACAGCATCATGATCTGACTGTGCACAGAGATCTTGTCTCACACTAGGTTGGAGGCTTCTAGAGGGCAAGACTCCAGTTACTTGTTAGATACCCTGGAGGAATAGTTTGAATGACTGATTCAATGAATGAACCCAGCCCCAGGCGTGCAGGTGTCTTAACCCAGGTCAGAGGTTGCTAGGCCTCATTCTGTTCCTTTGTAGATGTCACCAGGGTCTCTGCTCAAACATTAGAGCAATATTATTATCTTCCTTTGCAAGGACAGTTCTGGGGTGTAGAAAGTAGTAATCCAGCTCATTGACTCATCTGATGAGAGGGATTAAACATGCACCTTGGCCCAGGAAAGGCATGTAAGGCAGACACAGTCTCTGCCCTCATGGAGAAGGTCAGGCACCCAGCATGTCAGGGAGTAGCAAGAAAACCCTCATGGAATGTGAACCATGGTCTCACCCCTGCCCCAGTCAGGCCCCCTGCAGGAAGGGAGTTGGGACTGTCCCCAGCCCAGGGATAGAGAGGAATGTGAGTTAACCAGCTGTCTTTGCTCTTCTGTAGGCCCTGCCATCCCGGTGGGCATGGACGTGCAGGTGGAGAGCCTAGACAGCATCTCGGAGGTGGACATGGTATGCAGCAGCCCTGCTGGGGCCGCCCATAGTGGGGGTCTCGAAGCTCAGGTTCTGTGAGAGCCTACGGCTGGGAAGGCTGCACTGGGGCCTGGGTGTGGCAGCTGGAGCTGGAGGGGGTAAAACTATAAAATGGGGGCTCAGAAGTTGGCCCAGGTGCAGTGAAATCTGGAGCAAGACTTCTCAGTCTTCATGAGCAAAAATAACTTGGGGAGTTGGTTAAATGCAGGTTCCTGGGCCCCATCCTGCCTCAGAGCGTCTGGGGGTGAAGGCCAGCACTTTCCATTTTGAACACACTTCTCAAGTGATGTGAGTGGTCAGAATACCCATACCTGGATGAGCATGGGAGGCAGACATCTTCAGATTGGAATTTTGTGGTTCTCTGATCTCGGATAACCCCCGTGAGCATCGCTCCCCTACGCATTACTAGGCAGTGCCCACCAAGATCAAAGGGTAAGGGAAGGCTCTTTGGAGAAGCCTCATGGTGGCCGAGACTGAAGGCCCCGAAGGAGACAGCCATGGGGAGGCCCAGGGCAAGAGCACGGAGAAGGTCCCGGAGGCATAAGAAACAGGGAGTTTATGAACTGAAGGACTGGTGCACAAAATAGGAAGAGATGGATTTGGAGAGGTGGGGGTGTGCTCTGCCCCATGGGCGAGCCCCTGTAGGACAGCCAGGAGGGCTACAGGTGTGGGGTAGAGCCATAGGCACTATGCTCCGAGCCCACCACCACCACGCATCCTTCCATCCTTCGCCTGCTTACTCCCAGAAGACAATACTCTGGGCACTTACCCACTTGTGCTTGTGTCTTAGCGCTGGCTGTGGCATAAGAGCCAAACTCTTGGTTTAAGGCATCAACTATGGAGGCAAGGGGACGCTTGTTAACAGGGCAAGCTTTCAGGCTGACATTGCAGTGGGATGCAGCTGCCCTTCCTCTCAGCCATGCATCCCCCCATTCTTCCATCCTGCAGATATTCATTGAGCACCCAGTGTATGCCTCACAGTTTTAGGGACTGGGGTTCAGTGGTGGGCAGGACACAATTCTGCCTCCAAAGATCTTACAAGTCCAGCAATAGAACCCCTTGTAATGGGACATTTGACTGTCCAGGTCTCTGGAAGGGTCCACTAAGCTGAAACTGAATGGTTGGCCAGTAGGTAAGGAGCTATGTGTGCAAAGTCTGTGTGTGAGAGAGAAGGGCTTCGGGGAAATCTGCCCTGCTGGACCCCGGGCCAGCCTGTTTGCATCACCACTGCAGGTTTCACTGGCCCAGCCTGCAGGATGGGCTGCTCGGTCTCCTGGGCTCTGACCATCCTCTTCCCTATGCAGCAGCGCCATTTCTACAGCTGTCGTGCTGCCAGACTGCAGAACTGTTCTCTGCAAGCCCGGGGGCTGAGCCTAAGGCATCTGTGAGGGTGGTGGGTGATGCATCATTTGCAAGGAAGGAAACTTCCTAAGTGCTTCTGTTTGCCCTTGTCCCCGGCCCCCAGGACTTCACCATGACCCTGTACCTGCGGCACTACTGGAAGGACGAGAGGCTGGCCTTCCCCAGCGCCAGCAACAAGAGCATGACGTTTGACGGGCGGCTGGTGAAGAAGATCTGGGTCCCCGATGTCTTCTTTGTTCACTCCAAAAGGTCGTTCACCCACGACACCACCACCGACAACATCATGCTGAGGGTGTTCCCTGATGGGCATGTGCTGTACAGCATGAGGTGACTGCGCACAGGGTCACGTGTTCTCTGTCCAATGTCATTCTCATATGTGGGGTCACCCTGAGGTGGATGGGTAGAGTAAAGGGCTCCTGCACGCGTGTGCTAACCTCCCCTTGTAGTGTGGCGGCTCAGCAGAACTCTCCAGGTGCACGTGAAGGAGCGCAGGAACCTGTGGGGGTGGGGGAGGGGGGCTGGAGGACCACGCCTGGCTTAGCATTGGAGTGGGGTGGGGGCTTGCTGCCTCCGTGGGCAGATGTAGAGGCCTGAAGTGCCCAGCAGACCAGCATAGGCTTTGCACGCAGAGGCCACTGGGTGGGAGGATTTTGCAATTGGAGGAAAAAGGCGGGACCATGGATTTGCTGAAAGACAGATGGGGTCTGTTGCACCTCAACAGATACCAGTCCAGGGGTCCATCCAGGCAGCATGTATACTGATGTCTTTTTCATTCCTGATACTGGCTATGTTTGTGTTCTGTTTTGCAAGATCCATCTCATCAGAGTGTCACCAATTTTATTGGTCCTTTAAAAACTCCTGTTCTTGGCTTTATTTATCCTCTCAGTTGTTTGTTTTCTGTTTCAGTACTTCCTGTTCTTACCTTCAATGTTCCTTCATCTACTTTAATTTGCTGTTCTTTTCCTTTTAAGACGGTTGCTTAGCTCATTAAATTTAAGCATTTCTTCTTTTCTGATATGATAGTTAAGGTTATTCATTTCCCTGTAAGAAACACCTAGCCTGCCGTTTCATGAATTTTGATATGTAGTTTTTTTTTTATTGTTGAGTTAAAATTTTCTAGTTTTCATTGATTTCTTCATCGATGCATGGATTTTTCCAGAACTATATTGCTTAATTTCCAAATATATGGAGATTTTCTAGTTATATTTTTGTTACTTAATTTATAATGTTTATTGTATTTGCTTTCACAGTCCTATACATGTCCCTTCTGTCAAATTTGTTTTTTTAATCTTATATGTCCTTGCTGGGTTTTTTTATCTGCCTGTTTTATTAAGTTCTGAGAGACATACTAAAATCTCCCACTATGATTGTAGATTTGTCGGTTTTTCTTTTTTGCTTTCTGCATTTACTTATCTACATCAGTAAATGCATATAAATTTAGAGTTGTTATGTTTTATTGGTGAATTGAATCATTTATTATTAAATGACCCTTTTATCTCTATTTATCTGCTACACTTGATATAATGTAATGACACCCATTTTCTGGTTGATATTTGCATGTTACTTATTTTATATCCTTTTATGTCGAAATTTTTGCATCTTATATTTTCAGCGTGTCTCCTTAAACAGCATAAAATTGAGTTTTGTTTCTTGATCTAGTCTGACAGACTTCAGCATTTCTGAATTATCAAGTTAGACAATATTTGCTTGTGAACTAGAGCATTTAATCCATTTACATTTATTGACTAATTTATAAGTTGATTGTACATCTATCATCCTACTTTATCTTTTTAAATTATTTAACCTATTCTATATTCTTTCTTTTTCTCTTTCCTTTCTTGCTTTCCTTGGATTGATTATTTTTTGGTTATTTCTATTTTGGTTCTCCTATTTTAGTTTTGAAAATACATAGTCTTCCTGTTTTTTGGCAGTTCCCCAGAAAACAACACGAACTCTTGGCTTACCACACAGTGTGTTAATCAGCTACTTGTACTGTTATCCTAGACAATGCAAAGACCTCAGAACAGTTTCACTCCACTTACATCCCTTCCTACTTGCACATTTTGTTCGTTGAGTTTTTACAACCCACAATACATTATTAAGATTGTTTTAGATAGTCAATGTTTGCTTAGAATTATGCATATGTTTACCATTTTTGTTGTTCTTCGTTCATACGTCCATCTCCAGCTTTCCTCTGGGATCACATTGCTTCTGCTTGAAAAACCACTCCTTTAGGGCAGAACACCTGCTGGCAAATCTTCTCTGTTTCAGTCTGTCCAAAAATTCTATCTCACATTCATTCTTGAAGAGTGAGCTGGGAAGAAATGACATATATTTTAATTCAAAAATGAATAAATCCCTAATGTGTGCTTTCTAGGACCATGTGAGAGAAATGTTGGCACCAAGGATAGGAAGCAAGAAGAGCCCTTGGCTAATAAGTATTTATCTGATGCTGCCTTGAATTTGTCCCCTCAGTGGCTCTGCCTGAAATCCCACTGAGGACTTCTATTTCGTTTACCAGCTCCCCGTCTTAAAGCAAAAGAAGCCCCCCAGCAGTGTTAAGGGGCCAAGACATGAACCCCTGTTTTGTTTAACTAGACTGTTTTCTGTCTAACAACTTACAGGCTCAGTCCCACTCAAAACAAAACTGTTCACAGGAGGAGGAGAAAGACCAGTAATTTGGAAGAATTTCTCCAAAACTGGGTTGGGAAGGACCACAGAGTAAGAGTCCAGGGGAGCCTGAGAGTGTTAGCCTTGGGCAGTGGGGCAGGGCAAAGGCAGTCGCGCTTAGACCCAGGAGACAGGGCTGTTCATTCTGCTCACGTGTGAGGTGTCAGCCCCCAGAATGCAGCTCTGGAGCCTCCTGAACACATAGACTGTTGACCTCCAACAACACAGGTCTCCTGAGAACCTGACCTGCACTCCCACACGGGCAACGCTTCCAGATGGTGGTGCCACCCTCACAAGCTTATCGAATTTCCCTTAGAAGGGCGATTGGAGTTGTGGAGGCGAGGCAGGCCCTGAGAACAGAGAGACACAATCACAGACACCAAGCATTTTGTCTGGAAAATGTCCTTCACCCAGATCAGCTCCTGCTCAGACACTATGCCCATTATCTAAAACCAGGCTGCTGGGCAGCGGGTCCAAAGAGGGTGATGGCGCTACCACTTCTTCCCTTTGGCTCCTGGAGCCGCTGGGTGCTGCGGGTCACGTGGCACTTCAGAGAATGGGAGTGAGGGGGGAGTATGAGCAGGTGGGGTACAGCTCACCTTTCTGGACAGGCAATGCCACCAGGTTAAGAGTCGGACTCTGGGGCCGTTTCAATATCCCAGGCTAATGAAGGGTCCAGAGGACGAGGAGATTAACCAGCTCTGCTTCCCTGATGGAGTGTTGGGAGGAGGTGGCCCCATCCAGGCTGCCAGTGGACTTCCTCGTGCTGCAAGCCCCTCGGGACAGAAAGGCAGGCCAGTCAGTCCTATGGAGGGGCCTCCTCTCCACACGGAACATTCCACTTCTGGAACCTTCAAAGCACCCTGGGAGCCTGAAATTAGAGGAAATATGGCTGTGAGAGCAGGGATTTCTCATGAACCCTGACCTAAGCCATCAATGGAGAAACACAGGAAAATAAAAGGATGAGCTTACACTCTGATGTATTCGAGAGGGAAAAAGTAAAAATAAAAAATGAAATGTACTCATTTGCTTTCATGTTTAAGAACACAGAAAATATTCACTAAATCCCACTAAGGAATAAATAAAATGCATCATTCCACTGGGCTCAGCCAAAACAAATCTTTAATGGTGGGATTGCAAGCATCAACAGGCCTATGGGGGATGCCTGAAAAAACCTACGGGGGATTCCTGGGGGAGCCACCCAAGGCCCTGGGCGCTCTCCGTGAGGACTCCTGGCCATGGCATTTGGGCTGGAATTGAGGACTGAGCCTTCCAGTTCCCACTCGGTGTCAGGACCTCTGACCTCCTTTGCTGACCACAGCCAAACTCTCAGTCCATTCCAGTCTTTCTCATTCCTAAGACCCAGACTCCACCTGCTACCCTAAGGTTCCCCCCACTCAGAGCACAGGGGTCAGCGTGTCTGTGGCCTGTGCTCCCTGGCCAGCTGCATGGGGCTGGTCTCCAGGCAACGCCCTCCCCCCAGGAGGACCAGCAGCCACTGTCTGGAGAGCCAGTGTGTCTCAGACGTGTTTTGCCTATGAGTGTGGCAACACTTGTTAATATGCTTAATAGACAGAGGTTTTTGGTTTTCTAGGTTTTTAAACAGATACTAACATCTAAAAAAACATTTTACGGAAGCATGATATACACAGAGAAAAGTACACAGATTGGAAGTGTACAGACTGCTAAGTTATCATAAAGTAAACCTACCAGTGTAACCTATCACCCGGCCCAATATGTAGAATAGGAAGCCACAGATAAGCCCACAGAAAAACATGGTTTTAGACATCTTGCCACAGGTCAGATGAAGTGGAGTGCCAAGCACCTGTGCTGTGTATTCTCGTACTTCTCATCTGACGTGTCCTGAAAGGATTTCAAAATCTACAGCATCATGATCTGACTGTGCACAGAGATCTTGTCTCACACTAGGTTGGAGGCTTCTAGAGGGCAAGACTCCAGTTACTTGTTAGATACCCTGGAGGAATAGTTTGAATGACTGATTCAATGAATGAACCCAGCCCCAGGCGTGCAGGTGTCTTAACCCAGGTCAGAGGTTGCTAGGCCTCATTCTGTTCCTTTGTAGATGTCACCAGGGTCTCTGCTCAAACATTAGAGCAATATTATTATCTTCCTTTGCAAGGACAGTTCTGGGGTGTAGAAAGTAGTAATCCAGCTCATTGACTCATCTGATGAGAGGGATTAAACATGCACCTTGGCCCAGGAAAGGCATGTAAGGCAGACACAGTCTCTGCCCTCATGGAGAAGGTCAGGCACCCAGCATGTCAGGGAGTAGCAAGAAAACCCTCATGGAATGTGAACCATGGTCTCACCCCTGCCCCAGTCAGGCCCCCTGCAGGAAGGGAGTTGGGACTGTCCCCAGCCCAGGGATAGAGAGGAATGTGAGTTAACCAGCTGTCTTTGCTCTTCTGTAGGCCCTGCCATCCCGGTGGGCATGGACGTGCAGGTGGAGAGCCTAGACAGCATCTCGGAGGTGGACATGGTATGCAGCAGCCCTGCTGGGGCCGCCCATAGTGGGGGTCTCGAAGCTCAGGTTCTGTGAGAGCCTACGGCTGGGAAGGCTGCACTGGGGCCTGGGTGTGGCAGCTGGAGCTGGAGGGGGTAAAACTATAAAATGGGGGCTCAGAAGTTGGCCCAGGTGCAGTGAAATCTGGAGCAAGACTTCTCAGTCTTCATGAGCAAAAATAACTTGGGGAGTTGGTTAAATGCAGGTTCCTGGGCCCCATCCTGCCTCAGAGCGTCTGGGGGTGAAGGCCAGCACTTTCCATTTTGAACACACTTCTCAAGTGATGTGAGTGGTCAGAATACCCATACCTGGATGAGCATGGGAGGCAGACATCTTCAGATTGGAATTTTGTGGTTCTCTGATCTCGGATAACCCCCGTGAGCATCGCTCCCCTACGCATTACTAGGCAGTGCCCACCAAGATCAAAGGGTAAGGGAAGGCTCTTTGGAGAAGCCTCATGGTGGCCGAGACTGAAGGCCCCGAAGGAGACAGCCATGGGGAGGCCCAGGGCAAGAGCACGGAGAAGGTCCCGGAGGCATAAGAAACAGGGAGTTTATGAACTGAAGGACTGGTGCACAAAATAGGAAGAGATGGATTTGGAGAGGTGGGGGTGTGCTCTGCCCCATGGGCGAGCCCCTGTAGGACAGCCAGGAGGGCTACAGGTGTGGGGTAGAGCCATAGGCACTATGCTCCGAGCCCACCACCACCACGCATCCTTCCATCCTTCGCCTGCTTACTCCCAGAAGACAATACTCTGGGCACTTACCCACTTGTGCTTGTGTCTTAGCGCTGGCTGTGGCATAAGAGCCAAACTCTTGGTTTAAGGCATCAACTATGGAGGCAAGGGGACGCTTGTTAACAGGGCAAGCTTTCAGGCTGACATTGCAGTGGGATGCAGCTGCCCTTCCTCTCAGCCATGCATCCCCCCATTCTTCCATCCTGCAGATATTCATTGAGCACCCAGTGTATGCCTCACAGTTTTAGGGACTGGGGTTCAGTGGTGGGCAGGACACAATTCTGCCTCCAAAGATCTTACAAGTCCAGCAATAGAACCCCTTGTAATGGGACATTTGACTGTCCAGGTCTCTGGAAGGGTCCACTAAGCTGAAACTGAATGGTTGGCCAGTAGGTAAGGAGCTATGTGTGCAAAGTCTGTGTGTGAGAGAGAAGGGCTTCGGGGAAATCTGCCCTGCTGGACCCCGGGCCAGCCTGTTTGCATCACCACTGCAGGTTTCACTGGCCCAGCCTGCAGGATGGGCTGCTCGGTCTCCTGGGCTCTGACCATCCTCTTCCCTATGCAGCAGCGCCATTTCTACAGCTGTCGTGCTGCCAGACTGCAGAACTGTTCTCTGCAAGCCCGGGGGCTGAGCCTAAGGCATCTGTGAGGGTGGTGGGTGATGCATCATTTGCAAGGAAGGAAACTTCCTAAGTGCTTCTGTTTGCCCTTGTCCCCGGCCCCCAGGACTTCACCATGACCCTGTACCTGCGGCACTACTGGAAGGACGAGAGGCTGGCCTTCCCCAGCGCCAGCAACAAGAGCATGACGTTTGACGGGCGGCTGGTGAAGAAGATCTGGGTCCCCGATGTCTTCTTTGTTCACTCCAAAAGGTCGTTCACCCACGACACCACCACCGACAACATCATGCTGAGGGTGTTCCCTGATGGGCATGTGCTGTACAGCATGAGGTGACTGCGCACAGGGTCACGTGTTCTCTGTCCAATGTCATTCTCATATGTGGGGTCACCCTGAGGGGTTTGCCAGTGTGGCTGGGCCTGTGGGCTACACAGGACAGTACAAGCCTTCTGATGCCGGTTGGAACTCTCTGGGATGAAGTGGCCACCCTAGTAACAGGTGACTGCCTGTCATCAGGGATCTTAAGCTGGGGTTAGGAGACTAGTTGTGTCTGAATGAGTTGAGAAAGACAATGACCTCCTCCATACCCTCTACCCTTTAGAGTCTGTGATTCTAGTTTATTGGTAATAAGGATTAAAAAAAATGGCCATAGCTACTGTTTATTGAATGTTTATTGAGTTTATTGGCTTCTGAGCTAACTACAGTGATTCTACATCTTCCTGGCCTGCTTATAGTTACGCCTGCGTTAGACGCTAAGCCCTGGGTGGGGGCTGGGCAAGGGGCTGTAGCACCCGAGCGTCTGTAAGGGAGGAGGCTTGCTGGCTGAGGGCCACGTCCGAGAAGGGTGTAGATGTGGGCCATTAGCAGCCAACACCCTTAGTAGCCGGGATCTGGGTGGAGCACTAATAACATCTCCTCTGGAAGACGAAATTCTCAAAGTTTTGTCTTAAACTTAAGCTTTTGCAACTTAGATACCTGGGTCTCCAAACTTCTGAAGTAGACGTGTTAAGGCAGCTGCTCTTGGTCGCGTCTGTGTTCGCCGTATCTGGGCACGCGTGTGAGCCAGCGACCTGCTGCTCAAGCCAACGTGCTCGTTTGGGTTGTCTAGGATCACAGTCACTGCCATGTGCAACATGGACTTCAGCCACTTTCCCCTGGACACCCAGACCTGCTCTCTGGAACTGGAAAGCTGTAAGTATTGAAAAGGCGTGGCCTTATTCTTTCTCCAATCTTTGTGCCATTTTAGTAACCATGAGTACTGCCTGCCAGTGCTAAGACCTGTTTACTCCTAGGCTGGTGTAGGATTTCCCTGTGGCTTCACCCTGCATCAGAAGCAGAGGAATCAGATTAACTTATTTTCCTCTTCCCAAAGATGCATATACAGACGAAGATCTGATGCTGTATTGGAAGAATGGGGACGAATCCCTGAAAACAGATGAGAAGATCTCCCTGTCTCAGTTTCTGATCCAGAAATTTCACACCACTTCTAGACTGGCCTTCTACAGCAGCACTGGTAGCTAATGTTTGCCGTGGTCTCATTCAAAGGCAGAAGAAAACACATTAGAATTCTTTAGCCTGAACCTTTTCCCTTCTCATGAAACCAAATTTTTTATTATTAAAAGAACACACACACACACACACAAAAAGAACACATAGTCCTACAAAACATCAACAACACTTAAAAGCAGAGATTTAAAAAGTCGCTGTCCTCTGAGATCCCATGGCCAGATGCAATCATTCTTAACAATTTGGCAAATACCCTTGCTGACATCTTATTTTAATTATGTAATTTTTCGAAAGTGGGGTCAGGTTTCACATGTAATTTTATAAAAGTGAGCTCTTCTGTAACCTGGTTGATTTGACTTGATGATATAAATGGATAGCTTTTTGAGAAAATGTGATTTACTACCTATATTTGAATCTATAGACTCATTTTTAATGCTTAGTGTAACCTCTTCGTGGACTTTGGACTCTATTAGAGGTTTTGAGAGGATCCATTTGTCAGTTCTTCTTGAGTCTGACCTTTACTTTTTATATTAGTTCCCAAGGGCTGCCTTAACAAAATTTCACAAACTGTGAGCTTGAAACAACAGACATTTATTTGCCCACAGTTCTGGAGGCTAGAAGTTTGAGGGCCATACTCTTCTGAAGGCTGAGGGAGAAATCCTTCCCTGCCTCTTACTAGCTTCTGGTGGTTGCTGCCTCACTCCAATCTCTGCCTCTCTTTGTCCTGTGGTGTGTCTCTGCATCTGCATCCCCATCCCCACCCTAATCCAGAATGTCCTCATCTTACCTTGACTACATGTGCAAAAACCCTATTTCTAAATAAGGTCACAGTCACTGGGGACACAATTCAACCCAAAATAGCTCTGCAGTGGCTATGGGGCCCAGAGGACATCTCACTTCATTACTGTGTCCTGTGCTGAGAAGCCGAGGCCCTTCTGTGGGAAGATGTTGTGGTACTACATGCCCTGGCATGGCCATTGTCTCCCCCATTCACTTGCCATCACCCACAGTCTTCTGTTCATGGCTTCAAACACTGGAGGAGAGTGAGCCCCAGCTGAGGCTGTGTGGGCACAGGACGGCCATGCCTGCCTCACTTTATGCCCGCATAAAGTGCCTGCCCTCACCACCCTCACCTTCTCTTCTCTTTTGCCCCAATTGGTATGGCCACGCAATTCTCTTTTCTCATCTGTTCATGGCCAGTTCAAATTACCTCTCATTCTAATACCGTTTTTCTGACTATCTTATATAACTTTATAATGTGCCACTGTTTTGAGTGCTTTGTATGAATTAATTCATTTCTACCCAACAAACCTATGGTGTGGGTATTATTGCAGATGACAAACCTAAGCCTCAGAGGGATTACATTGTTTGCTGACATTGCACAGCTACTAAGTGGCCAGGCCATCTGCCTCAGTCACTCTGTGTACTCCTCTTAGATGTTTTCTATGTTGGACAAATATATTCTATACTGAACAGGCATGCTTGTTTGTTTTGTCCCCTATTCAAGCTGTTTTGGAGTCCAGACTGAATGTATCTTCCTCTCCCGGCATTTACTACGTGCCAGCAGGCAGGTTCATCACCCCACCCCGTGGGGCTGTGTTGTCAGCCAGGAGTGCTCCGTCTGGAACACACAGTGCATGTTTTCAAAGTGCCTGGTTCCCTTCCAATGTTTCCAAGGCAACTCTCTCTGATTTCCTTAGACAGAAGGAAAGGAAAGTGGAATAGTCCTTCATGGAATAAGGGCAGCTCTCAGCCCTTCTGAGAGACCCTGTGCAAACCTAGGAACGATGTGATTTGCTTCATGAATGCCAATTTAAGCAGGGAGAATAAAGCTGACTAGATCGGCCAAAGTTGTGGGATGAATAAATGATTAGTAGCTGCTGTCATATTTGAAGATCACTTTCTATTTATCTGCCTCACTGAAAGCACCTGCCTCACTCCAGCACCCCAGGAATCTACACAGACACCACATGTCAGGCTTGTCTGGACCCACCGCCCCAGCCTCTCCTTATTGACCCAACTCAGCGCTCACTTTCCACTCCAGCCACATGGCCTTTGTCCCCTAAGCAGTGTTTGTACAGGTGCAGCCTGAGGCCCACCAGGATCCACACCACCATGGGAGTGTGTTTCACGGGCAGATTTCTGGGGCACATTGCAAGCTACTGAGTCAGAATCTCAGGCAGGGGATCCCAGGATTCTGCATGTTTTAACAAGTGATTTTTACACACTTCAAAGTTCAAAGTTCAAAGTTTCAGTCAATGTGGCTCACGTAGTGTGGTGCTCAGGGCAGCAGTATCAGCATCACCTGGGAGCTCTGGAGGTGCAGCCCAGCGACCATGTTTCGGGAAGTCCTCCAGGGAGGTATACAGAGATTGCTGGGCCTCACCCCCCACAATGTCTTGTCAGTAGGTTGTCCTGTGTGGGCCCTGAGAACCTGCATTTCTAGCTGATTCCCAGTGAGGCTCTTGCTGCTGGCCCAGGAACATCCACTTTGAGAACCGCTGCTCTAAGTTAATGGTTCTCAGCTCTGGCAGCGCATGAGTATTACCTGGGGCAGCTCTTTGTTGTTGGTTAGCGTTTTTCTGTGTGTGGTAAAATATACATAACATAAAATTAACCATTTTAACCTTTTTTTTTTTTTGGATTATCATACTCAGAAAATTTATTGATGCTGTTTTCTGCATAGAGTTCCCATTTATATCTTTTTTTTTTTTTAGGCTTACCATT